TTCACCAACATCTCAGGTCCCTTCTAAGATGCTGGGATTCCCTAAGTGACCTACTTCTTTGGTGATTTACGAGTTGATAACTGATCCCGGAGTATCTGTCCAGAATGGTACCCCGAAGTCGGCCATTCGCCCAGTTTCCGACCAGATTACATTACCCTTCTCAAAATTGCCCTCAAAGGGCTTGAGTGTCTTGAGATTACAAGATTCGGGATTATTGACCACACGTCGGGGACATGGCCTCGACGGGTGTCGAGATCAAGGGACCACACTCAAGCCTAGGAAGGGTTATTCAGCCTGCCTCAAGTTTTTAGGCTTATGTAGAGAGAAAGAAACGTAGTCGGGGTGGCTCTGATAGAGTTTTATAAAGTAGATAAGACGAAGAACAATGGGTAAAATGGCATTTTCTGGGAGCATTGAGGCATGTAGCTATCGATCATCCCATTGCTTCGAACTCCTAGCCAGTAAACACCCAAGATACATCTTCCAAAATAGCTTGCCCCTCGTCTTGTTGTCTACTTATCTTCTTATACGAATAAACGAAAGCAAGAGCATCTCCACAGTCCTGCGCTCAACAATTAGCTTGCCAGGCTCGGACGTGGTGAATGCTGACATTCTTGAAGGAGCGGGATCCCAGAGCACCAAATGACCAGATCACGCCACCTGGGCGGAACTAAAACCCCACGTTCCGAAGACGACCCGGAAATCTCGTTGAATCAGTCAACAGATTTGGGATTTGGATTATTTTTTCGACATATCAAACATCGCTACATAGAGAGCAAAGATACTAACTTCAGGTACTGACGCCTTTAGAAGGCCTTCATCGGAAGGCAATACCGAATACACCGACCGACGCTCCCCAGAGGCAAAAACTCTTCAAGGCCGGCCTCAGGAAAGAGTGAGACTAGGAGATTGCTCTCTCGGACTTATAACGTAATGGGTGTCTACTAGAGGGAAGTATCACGTTCGCTTGGAGTAGGACCCGCTGGTAGCCCATTCCTTATGAGCCCGTAATCTTCCGGCGAATTCTCTGCCGCCAACTCGCGACTCACATGCCTGCCTTCTTTAAAGATTTATCTCAGAGAAAAAGGCCCTCTACGGTCATTGCTGCGCGTGGTCCTGGGTCTCCATCTGCCAAGAAGCTTTGACTTGCCATGCAAGAACTGGGGGCCAAAAGCTCGTAGGGTTGGGAAGCCAAGAGTTCATCAAGATGTGACCGGGGCATGTTTGCGTTGCTTGGGAGAATCTCGTGCGAGCCAGAAACCAAATATCAATTATTCCCTCCCGGAAACCTTTGTCCGGGGCTGACATTGTTTCCTGGTCCCAAGTCGTGAGGCCGAGACCAGGTCGTCTGGCGCATCCAGGTGCGAGGGCAGCTGCTAAAGCACTGAGAAGTAGAGATGTCATTGGGAGACATCCGGTGAGCTAACCTCGGAAAAGACCCAGCAGTCAGGCTCCCTCTAGACTCTAGAGGCAGCTCACCAAGCAACCGCGCAACCCAACGATGAGACTTTAAAAAATTTCTGTTGCCTCCTGCTCGGATACCCTCTTACCAATAGCTCCCCGCGCCAGACCCCTTCCGCGATAGCGCCCCGGCCCGCAAAGCCAAGTCCGGCCAAGTCTGCAGTCTGGCCCATCTAATCTAATCAATCAGATAACACCATCCCGAGTATCCTTCACCCACCCATCCCACTGAAATGGTGTCGGGAACCCGGCACTACGGTCTGCTCTCGCCAAGCCCGCAGCTGCTTTGTGCTTTTCGCAGGATCCTTCGCAAAAAGTCCCCCAGGCCTCTTCCGTTCCGTCTTGTCTTTCCCACCCCAATACCACCCATCCTATGATCTGTCTGGCCCCTCATCCGACGCCATAATGGGTCGCCTCCCGACCTCTCGGTTCCTGGGCGCAAGAAAGTACACTAGACGATCCCGACTTCGGTCTCCTGCGCGCTGGTGGTGTGTATGTGTGTGTGCCCGTTAATCAACTCTGATCTTTGCAAGTATGGACGAGTAGCCGCATCTTATCAGATCATAGCCTGCTGTTGAAAGGGGGACGTGGTGTGCGTGGGTCAAAGTTGAATCCTTCCGGCCGCTAACTTCGCGATGGGATGGTGTAGAACTTAGCGAGGTCGCAAAAAGTGGCACGCTAGAAAGGCGGCACGTATTTGCGCCCTCCTCTGGAAGGGTCTTTAACTACGAGGCGAACCCCCCCAAACCACCGGCCGCTTTTCTCTTCTTACTCTGTATTTGGTCATCAATCTCTTTCTGCCGCTTCTCACTTTGTGTGTCTTTGGTGTAAAACGCATCATGGCAGTGATTTCGCAGCTTCGTGAGGCCCTCGGCCGCAAGCCAGCCCCGGTCGACGACTCACCCATGACCATCACCACGGCGCCGGAAACCGCCAACAACATTGACGACAAGGAACTGGGTGAGATCCCGCCTGACGACGAGAAGCCGGGCGAGGAGCAGAGGGTCAGCCAGGAGGTTCAGCATGGTGTCAAGCTGGCGCAGGCGTTGACTTTGACGTGGGGCAAGAACTCGCTGATTGCCATCTTCATCTTGTAAGGACTCTTTCCCTCGAAGCTCTCGCATACCAATGTGAGACTCGCATCATGAGGAACGGCATGACTGATATTAGGGGGATTTCCTCCCCTGTGCAGTATGTGGTTTCTGTACCTCACCAACGGATTTCAGAGTTCCGTGCTGTCCAGCTTGACACCGTATGCCGCCAGCGACTTTGAGTCGCACTCGCTCCTCCCCGTCATCGACATTGTGTCCAGCGCCATGACGGCCTCGGTGTACATCCCGCTGGCCAAGATTCTGGATCTCTGGGGTCGAGCGGAGGGGTTCCTGCTCATGGTGCTCTTCGCGACGCTGGGCATGATCATGTTGGCCGCCAGCCAGAACCTCGCCACGTACTGTGCCGCTACCGTAAGTGTCTAAACTCCTTCCCACACTTTGATCGCCAAATCCACGCACAGAAAGAGAAAACAACCAAAATACTCATGCAGGAAATCTCTAGGTCTTTTGGCAAGTTGGCTGGTCCGGTCTCACGTACAGCATCGACGTGATCACAGCGGACTCGACCCACGTCAAGAACCGAGGCCTGGCGTTCGCCTTCACCTCCTCGCCCTACATCATCACGGCGTTCGCCGGCCCCAAGGCCGCTGAGGGTTTCCTCAACAACGTCAACTGGCGTTGGGGCTTTGGCTGCTTCTCCATTGTCTTGCCCGTCGTCGCCGTGCCCATGTACAGCATCCTGAAGTGGAACATTCACAAGGCCAAGAAGCGCGGTACGCTGGTGCGCGAGCCTAGCGGCCGTAGCTTTGTGCAGAATGTTTGGTGGGGTCTGATCGAGTTTGATGGTATGTTTTCTCTTCCCCTTCGAACGAGGGCTTCTTCTCCGCCATTGCTCGAGCCTCGAGGACATTGCTGATTATCTTTACTCAGTCCTGGGAATTGTCCTCTTCGCCTGCGGTCTCGTCACCTTCCTGCTCCCCTTTTCCCTCGCGAGCACTGCCCCAGACGGCTGGAAATCAGCCTACATCATCGCCATGATCGTCACGGGCTTCGTCGTGCTCGCCCTCTTCCTCCTCAACGAGCTCTACCTCGCGCCCAAGCCCTTCCTCAAGTTCGAGTTCTTCTCCGACAGGACCGTCATCGGCGTCTGCGTCCTCGACATCACGTACCAGGTCGCCTACTACTGCTGGAACAGCTACTTCACATCCTTTTTGCAGGTCGTCAACGACCTCTCCGTCTCCAACGCCGGCTACGTCGGCAACACCTTTGACGTCGTCTCGGGCGTGCTCCTCTTCATCGTCGGCTTCTCCATCTCCAAGACGGGCCGCTTCCGCTGGCTTTTGATGGTCGGCGTCCCGCTGTATACCTTTGGCCAGGGGCTCATGATTTACTTCCGTCAGCCAGGCCAGAGCGTCGGATACCTGGTCATGTGCCAGATCTTCACGTCCATTGGCGGCAGCGTCTTTATCCTGTGCATGCAGGTCGCCATCCTGGCGGCCGTGGACCACCAGCACGTCGCCGCCGCGCTCGCGCTCCTGAGTGTCTGCGGCAACATTGGCGGCTCTGTGGGGAACACCATCTCTGCGGCCATCTGGACCAACACGTTCGAGAAGGCTCTGGAGCGTAACCTTCCCGAGTCTGCGCTGGAGAGTCTGGCGGATATCTATGCGGACCTCGATACGCAGCTGAGCTATCCCGTGGGCAGCGATGAGAGACTTGCTATCCAGAACGCATACGGATATGCTCAGACGCGGATGCTTGCCGCTGGAACTTCGGTGATGGTATTTGGGTTCATTGCTATTTTCATGATTAAGAATTACAACTTGAAGGAGATGAAGCAGACCAAGGGTCTTGTGTTCTGAGAGCCGGCTGTATCAGGGCTCTGGCAGAAAGACCTGTCAGCTCATGAGCTGTGTATGACTTGATCGACTAAATCAAGTTGGTGAGCATCAGATGGGGCTAAGGAGATAGATGTATGAAGCAAATGATGAATGCATAAATTGGAGTTGGTACAAAACATGGACAGCTGTTGCAACCGTGAATCAATCTTCTCAGTACGGAGTAGAAATGATGGGCTATGTTGTTGTTATGCCCCGAACACTGACATCAATGTGGAAAGGGGCGCAAAAGGGGGGGCTTTGCTTGAAGATGGGTATTGATATTGAAATGGGATTTCATGCATCGGTGTGGACGGCATCGGCAGTGACGTTGCAAGCCGGCGGGAAACAAAACAAAGCTCGAGGTACGTACACGGTACACGGGTACCGGTCGATAACGGGTGGGCTCGGCGATGACGTCGACCAATCACCGCTGGTGGCCGGGTCAAGCCCGGACCCTTCGGTGCTGCTGCAGCCAGTGAAACGCCAACGGGTGGATCCACACACGGCGGAGGCTTTTCCCCACGTCGTTTTTTGGGTGGAAAGAAGCTGCACTGCTGCGCTGGTCTCGAGTGCTTTGCCTCTTTGCGGTCTGTCGCTGACCTTTTTTTCTTTGCCGCCGACGCGAGTCCACTTTCTGACCTACCTTACCTGACCTCGTCTTGAGAGTCGAGCTACCTGACCCCCATCTCCCCAGAAGCTGTTGGACGTCAAAGATCAGGAACCTTCAACACTCCTCTCTCCAGCAGTACTTCTTGGCTTGATAACTGGGTTGAAACCGACAAGATGTCAGCGGACGACCAGCAGTTCTTGGACGTTGTGAGCATCATCCGCCCCCACACCAACACACCTCCAAGCTTGTGATCACGAGAGCTCTACTGACACCGCCCTCTTGTTCCCACAGCTGTCCTCACTGCCCAACAAGATCCGGGGCTACTCCGACGACCTCGCCAACCTCATCAACCCTACCGTCGATAAGGCTGCACAGGCCGTACGAGAGACGCTCTCCACCTCAGAATGGCTGCCCGACTCGGTGCGGCCGAAGCCCCCCGTCCGCCATATTCCTATCGAGGTGATAGCTATGAGCCGGTACGAGAGGTTGCACGGCTGGGTAAAGGAACACAAGCTGCTGACCGGTGCCATCGTCGCCGTCGTGGGAGTCGTGGCATACCGATCTTACAGGAGTAGCAGGTTCTGCAAGAAGACGCGCCGGGCGAAACGGGCTAGGAACGGCGGCCGTCTCGAGGTTGTCGTTATCGCAGGCTCACCGACACTACCCTTGACAAGGTCGCTATCACTCGATTTCGAGAGGAGAGGATTCATTGTTTACATCGTATGCAACGCCGAGGAGGATGAGAGCATGGTGCACAGCTTGGCAAGGCCCGACATTCTGCCTTTGACCATTGACACAACGGATGTGAGTAGAGTCGGTATGCAGTTTAGGCCTTCACTGACGTATGCAATAGCCTCCCAGAGCTGGCGCTGCCATCGACAGCTTCGCGCAGTACCTTCAATCACCACACGCCCCGGTACCGCGGACGAGGCCCAACCACCTACAGCTCAAGTCCGTCATCCTCATCCCGTCGCTCAACTACCAAACGTCACCGATCGCCACTATCCCGCCCTCCAGCTTCGCAGACCTCTTTAACACCCACCTGCTCCACCCCATCCTGACCATCCAAGCCTTCCTGCCGCTCTTGACGACTCGCCTTAGCCCGCCCGGAGAGAAGTGGACGCCGCCAAAGGTCCTCGTCTTCACGCCGTCCATCATCTCCTCCATCAACCCCCCGTTCCACGCCCCCGAAGCAACCGTCTCCTCCGCCCTATCAGCCTTCACCGAGGTCTTGACGGCAGAACTCCGACCCCTCGGTATCCCCGTGACCCACATGCAACTGGGCACCTTCGACTTCACCGGCTTCCAGCCCGCCAAGCACACCCACCCTTCCCAGAGAGGTCTCCTCGAAGGCGGACCCGGCATCGACGCCGACGCCACAGAGACCCTCATGTGGCCCGAGAACGCCCGCCACGCCTACGGACGCAACTTTGTCATGCAGAGCACCTCCGCCATCTCGGCCGGCCGCATCCGCGGTCTGAAGGGCAGCTCCCTCCGCCACCTCCACAACGCAGTCTTTGACGTCATTGACGGGTCCATCACCAGCGGCACCGTCCGCGTCGGTCTCGGCGCCAGCGTCTACGGCTTCGTCGGCCGCTGGGTGCCTCGCGGTCTCGTCTCGTGGATGATGGGCATCCGCCGCGTGGACGAGCTGTCGGCGTGGCAGACCAGCTCTTATGATGGGTCGCTCGACGGTAGTGATAACGACGAGGGCCAGGATTTTGTCGCTGTGCCTGATGAGAAGTTGGATAGCAACGTGTGGAAGTCGTCTTAGAAGGACTTGGGCTTGGCTAGCGTCTCTTGCATCACATCGGGAAGTACCTTCACAGAGGGTGCAAGAAACCGATTGAATGAACCCTAGGCAAGATGCTTAACTAGGCATGGGGGCCAACGGCCTAGCCGGCTGATCATAGCCGACGACTCGGGCTATCGAGAGACGCGCTTAGGCGATAGGGTTATGAGCAATCTAGCCTGCGTCAGCGAGCGAAACCGAGACTTGGCTCACAAAAGGCTTATGATTGACGAACTCCACTCGTATCCAAAGGGAAAGACATCCGTATCACTACTCGTTGGATTAAGCGTATATAATCATGATAGTAATTCAACGTTGTATCGTGGTTGGGCCTGCGGCTCACTACACCCCTTCTCTCAAATTACTCCTATATCTTAGCCTCTGTGATTGTTTTCTGTGTCAACTGTGTTAGGAGGAACTTCGGCCTCCTAAGGTTAATTTCATCATGAACGTTCTGCGTTGCCCAGGTTCCTTCTCGCTTGTTCCCGAATGGGCTGATGATGAAATGATTTATCTCTTAAATGTGCCATTCTTCCAGGAGGCGTTATTTAGTACTTCTTGCAAAGACGTGATAAGCTGGTTCCTAGGGAAGGGTAGCTGATCCTTCGGAAGCGTTTAAAGGAGCTTATTTCAGTATCTCTTACAAGTCTCTCCTGTATGTCTATCATCATGATCAATATTAGCAAATATGGACGGGGACACAAAGCATGAATGGCACGTTTTTCATCAAAGCTTTCCATCCCCTTTACGCAACTGCTATGCGTATGCGAGTCATGACAGATAATGAGAGAAGCATTTGTATGTTGAAATAATAGAGGTGGTTTGCCTGAAGGAACCATAACACTTTTTCAAGCTTTGTGTTCTCATTCGTCACGCTTCGTACCCTCATTCGTTTCGCTTTATGTCCCCGTTCGTTATGCTTTACATCCCCATTCCTCATACTTCGTGTCCCCATTTATCACGCTTTCTATTCCTATTTATCATGCTTTCTATTCTCGTTCGTCACACTTAGCATCCCTATTCATCATGCTTTATATCCCCGCTCGTATTCGTCAACGATTGCTGAATTGATGAACGTGTCTGAAAGATGACGGTGGTTATCTTCAGATAAAGAGATAGTTGTTGCTAGAATGATCTCCGGGAACAGCGACATGAATATGGCAAATTCTCACTATCGGTCAGACAGGACATGGAATCACAAGGCTTGAGCAAAGGAGTCGATGGCATTAATCATCGGTTTGCCTTGGTAATTCATTTGAATGATTGCGAGAGGTTAGGCGGTATTTATATCAGTCCAGGTAGGTCTAGTAGATTCTGGACCAACAGGAGAAGGGGCAAAGGCTGACGGCCTTGTGCGAGCCATCGGGAAACGGCATGGGATAGTCAACAGTCGTACTCAACTACCTTGTGATCATAAGAGACGGGACACAAGCTATCAGATAAAGATCTCTCATCACCAAACGATGCGCCCGACATGACACTACCTCAATTTGATTCCTATTAAGGAGTTCGAGAAAAGAGGGTTCGTCAGAGTAGGAGATCTTTATCATCAAGACCGTCCACTAAAATCGAAATCTCGGAAGGATCAAGTCCTCTGGACCATTTCCCGCCCGCTCGCTCGCTCGCTCGTATTCGTCAACGATATTTGCACGATGAACGTACGTCACGGAGAACAATGGGCGTTGATATATAATGGACCTTGAACCGTATATCAAGATAAAGAGCTGTTTGCTCGACGGGACTTCCTAGCTTTTGAACCCTCTTGCAAGAACATGCTGAGGGGTTGAGGGAGTCGATAGCATTAATCACCTTGGGGAATGTTCAAAACGGCTGCGTGAGGTTAGGCGTTTTTATACTAGGTAGTGTCACCTAATTCCAAGATGAACCAGAGACAGGGAGATAAGCGACCATATGCTTTGAAAGGCTAAGAAAAGAAGGCATAAGGTAGAAGAGAATAGAATGGCTCATTGTCCGCCCGTTGCCTGCCACACGGTGGCAAAATTACAGGGCCGGGTGTTCACGTTATTCACAACCTAAAGGCAGTCCTGTTCCTTAGAACCGCATGCTTGCCTACTCGTATTCGTTGACGATGTTTGCACGATGAACGTGCGTGACAGAGAACGGGGGCCGTTTGTGAGGTAATGGACCTCAGCTGACATAGTAAGACAAGGAGACGTTTGTTCGCTGGGTGAACCCCAGAGCCCAAGGGCTTCTCCCCGGTGCCGAGGGAGTCGATGGCATTAATCGCCGTTGCCTTGAGAGGTATTCGGAGCTGCTGCGCGAGGTTGAGGAGGATTTATATGAGGTGAGTGGGTGGATTGAGGGCCATTGACGGGGGGAGGAAGAAACGGATGAGATGGGTTGTTGTGATGATGAGGGTGGGAATATCTACTCCAAGGGAGGGAGTCATTGAATGACACGACGAAAAGGGCTTTCAAGTGGCTGTGGCAATGGAGACCATCCTATTGAACCATCTATCCGACTATGCTTGCTCATCGTTGATCCTGAATCACATCACCGCTGACCGTCAGCGCTATCGTCTCTTTTCCCAAACCTCGCGCCGAAACCTCCAATGTCCCTCCGGAAGAATTTGCCAAAGTTCTTGAGATTCTCATTCATGGTCGCCTTCTCCGTACCCGCGATGCCGCCCGGACCGGTTCCCTGCCCCAGGTCCCTCGCCGCGCTCAGAAGCTTCTCGCCCAACGAGGTCGCGTCAAACTTGCTCGGCAACCCGGGCATGGCGCTGCTGGCGCTTGTGAGAGCGGTACTCGCGTTTATGGCCCCAAGACCGGAACTGCCGAGTCCTGTGGTTGCCATCAACGGCGTGAGCAGCGGAGATTGCTGGACGAGTTTGTCGCTGAGGTTGCCCTCGCGGTGGATGCCGAATAGTTCCACAAGGTGGCCCTGATCGGCTTTGCGGACGCCCTTGAGGTCGAGAATCTTTCTAAAGTTGGTATCGGAGCGATCGGCAATGTGGATCAGGTATGCTTGGACCAAGCCCTCTGGTGGCGAAGGGCGGACTTGCAGCGTCTTTAAGAGGGGGTCTATGCGGTTCATTGTCTGATTCACTCGCTTGATATAGCCCGCTGGAGCCGAGTGTGGTGTTGACGAAGACTTGTTGTGATATGACAGGAGATTTTCGAACGCTTTCGTCAAAACATACTTGTCAAGCAACATCTAGAGGGCCGTCAGTATATGCATGGGGGCTTGTGTGTGGTGCACCCGTACCTGTTCAGCGCCGACCTCGGAAACTGGGCGGCATTGTACAATGTTGCTAATGTAGGCGTTCACAAGATGGTCCACCAGGTTATCGCAAAATGCTCTAGCATATTGCTGTTTGACCAAAAGGCCCAGTATCTCCTCGGCTTTGCCGTTCACGGAAGATAGAAGCTCACCAACATATGAGCTTTGATCGCCCACAGTCTCCATGGTGCTCCAGCCTGTGTTACGCATCTCACGCCAAGATCCCTCGCAGGCGATCTCAACGTTACGTACTAACGTCAGCACAGCAGCGCTGGCCACGCCAAGAAAGGCGTCGGCTTGTGATGACAGGTCAACTTTTCCAACAAGCTCATTATCGATGCGCTTTTTGATGTTTTCCTCCAACTGGGTAGTATTCGTAGACCAGAAATCTGCCGTGTTCAACACCAAAATGACGTCTTGAATTGGCGGACCTTGAGGTCCAGCCCTTTGCAAGATGTGCAGAAGAACTTGTTGTGCGTATTCGTCGAGGTACTTTGCCAGCGTTTTGGAAAGGTCCAATAATCTGTCGCTCGTAGATAACTTGGCGCATTGGGATAATGTGAGCTTGTAGAAGTGGAACAGTTCAATGGCTGAGGAAATGACGGCTTGCGTAGAAAATTCTTCGTCTTCCGGAAGCAGAGGCTGGTTTCGGTATTTTGGTATCATTGCAGCAAGTTGCTTGTCTTGCGACTCCACCCACAAGCTCAAATACGGCTCGAAAGCAGTTGAAATCGAACCATGGAAATTCGACGCTCTGTCATCGGATGAGCTCAGGGTGTCGATACTGGCGCGCGGTTCGTTGGCAAACCGCCTCTCTAGGCCATGCTCAAAGTCCAAAGTCTCCTGTAAGCAGCTCAGGAGAAGGTTTACGTCAATCTTCTGCCCATCCGTCTTGCGCATGCTCCTTTCGAGGATGCCCCTGAAATCATCTCGAGTGCCGTCACAGAAAGCCATGGCCAGCAATTCGTTCGCGCGCCAATGGGCCGGGAAAATTACGGCGTGCTCATCCTCATGAGTCTTGAGCATGCGTTTAAACCATGCATACCTGCGGCCGATATTGTCCAGGTTTCCGGCCTCGTCGTTGCCCCTGAACACCTGGCGGTATTCGCGTAGTTCCGTATTGACGTACCAGTTCATCAGTCGCGTCCGAGCCATGTCGCCCAAGGCATCCATGACCAGACAGGCCTCTATCAGTGTACCTCTGCGCTGTGCGACCTCTCCCTTCGCAAACGCAATCTCGAAATCTTCGCAGACCTGCTCCAACAATTCCCGCTGCAGCTCCGAAACGCCTCGGCTCAGCGTGGCGATCTGTTCAATACTCCTGTAGCTGTTGAAGTGCTTCATAAGCTGCAGGACAGCTTGAAGTAGGCTTGCGCAGTCTCGGTATTGCCTCGTCTTGGCCAAGCCTCTCAGCTGTTCGTATGCCGTCGTCAACATCTGCAGTCGTTTCAGAGCGGTCATGCTCAATGTGAGGTTCCGCTTCGTGCCATCCAATCGTTTTATATCGGCGGTCATGGAAGTGATGTTCTGCTCGGTTTGGATTGCCCGGGATCGCACGGTCTCGATCTTGCGGAAGAGCTGGGCGAGTTCAGCTTGGGCGGACTGCATGCGCTCGAGGCTCGAATCGGGACCGTAGGCCTGGGCGACCTCGAGGCTGGAGATTTCGACGGCGAGATCATTTTTATGGGTCTGTAGTGTATCGGAAACGCGGCTGATTGAGGTCACGGTTGAGGGATGTGGAAAGAGGTGGTTTAGGTGCTCGATAGGATCATAGTCGGCTGCCTCAGGGTCAGATATGAGCTGCGCCTAGCAAGAGCGGGAGTGGAATTCGTACCAGCATCGAGTGATGTTTTCCCGCTAATTGATGTCCCGTTCATGCTGAACACCCGTGTTGACTTGGTCTGCGTGTGAAGATGGTGATCTGGCGGGATTGGACGGGACAGTTTGCTGCATGTGTCAGATTCCCTGAAGACTTGGGCTGCGTGTCTTGGGAGCTCCGGGTCGAGATGGCGTCACGTGTTAAGACGGGACGCAGGGGGATCTGCGACGGGACCTGCCGCAACCAATCGGAATACGCTCCGAGAAGCTCCTCTGGTTCTAGAAGCAGGCGGCAGG